CAGCTTCACTCACGTTATGCACAGATTGCCTGTCCCACCGCATTTCGCCCACCCCGCCGCTCGTCAGCCACCCCTCTACCGACGCCTGCCGCACGCTCTAACTACGAGGTGGGGCGGTGTATCAGATTTGCGCGGAAGAGGGATCGGAACTGGGCGCAGGTTGCTTGGGCGACGGCCAAGGCGTCCGCGGGCACGCAGAGACAGACAGCTAGCCTTTTACCCACCTCTCTTTTCTGCCCCTGCATCTTGCCCAACCGCCGCATGCACCCACCCGCCAGCTTCCACACAAGCTATCCATATCTTGCCTGTCCCACCGCATTTCGCTTCACCCCGCCACTCGCCAGGCACCTCTCTACCGCCGCCTGCCGCACGCTCCAACTGGGAGGAGGAGTGTGGAGTACTACAGGGCACGGGGGAGCTCTTAAAGCAAACGCGGCCGCCGCCAGAGCGGCCCAAACCTCCCCGCGCCTCGTGGAAATCCCAATCCCGAGCTCGCAGTCCTTCCTTGGGAACCCTTCGGCCGCCTCGGTGGATGAGGGCCCCCCTCGTGGGAGCGGCGGCTTCCTCTGGGCCGGGCAGGGGCGCCTGCGCCACCCCCCTTGGGCGTCCAGCGGCATACCCCTTGGCAGACACCGTATCCGCGTTCGGGCATCCTGCACGCGCCTCAGCGGGCGAGGGGCCCCCGCCGTGGGACTGTGGGATGGCTGGGGGGCCTCCCGTGGGCAGGAGGAGGAGCCCTTGCGCCTTCACCTCTGAGCGAGCGCGACTTTGGCTGCACGCCCACGCTCCTGGCGCGTCGCCACGCTGTTTCACGGTACCACCAGCCCGTTCGCCCTACCTCACGCCAACCGCCTCTCAGCCCAACTCCGTCCTTTCCTCGTGGTCTTGCACATATCTGGTGCCTCCCTCACATTCTCTCTCCCCCCCCCGGGGCGTTCGGGGACATGGCTACCCAGCGCCCTTGGGGGCTGCGCCTGTCGCGTATCGCATTTTGCAGATATTATGATTTGATTGAACCCCCGTCCAGAATCAAGCGACTCCGGGGGGGAGATGGCTGAGTCAGATTGACCTTATCAACACCAGCACCCAGGATGAGGAAGGGGGGAGGGGGAGAAGGAGGAGGAGGAGGAGGAGCAGGAAGAGCAGCAGCAGCAGCAGCAGGGGGAGGAGGAGAGGAGGAGGCTACCCCGCACCGGGGCAGCCTCCCACCCAGAATCGGCGATGCGGGGATCGAGGTTCGAAGGTCGAGGTTCGAAGGTCGAGGTTCGAAGTTCGAGGAGGAGGAGGAGGAGGAGGAGGAGGAGCAGCAGCAGCAGCAGGCAGAGGAGGAGGATCGAGGCTCGAGGCTTGCAGGCGTTCTTCGTCCTCCTCTGGTCTCGGCAGACGGATTCTCTCGCCGCGACTTCAGGGTCCCACCTCGAAGCCCTGGGCAAGACTCACCCCTGGAGATGCCCAGGGGAATTCGTGTCAGAACGCACCTCCGGACCCAGACCCCATCGAGACAGGAAGAAAATCACGACGGAAGGTTTTCCGCTGTTTTCGGCTGCCAGGAGCGTTTACCCAGCCTCTGGACCGTCAAAAGTTGATTCAAGATGAAAAACGGTCTTGGGGAGTGGGTCGAGACCTCCAGGGGCCGACGTTATGAAAAAGCATGACATCGGGGATTTGGGCAGGTCGATCGGAGAGCAAGTAGGCCGAGGCTCGTAAAACGGCAGGGGGCCGCTGTTCTCACGGGCGGGACCAGCGGTGTAATCACATCCCGCGCCACGAAGCGGAGGTGGAGAAGGAGGAGGAGGAGGAAGAGGAGGAGGATCGGGAAAGTCGCTCCGGAGTTCTCCCCATGTGGCTCGGCATCCAGGAGGCCGCTTCGGGACCCAGGGCCGTCAGACATCGGTCCGGGGCGAACACGGGCCAAGAGGGACCCTGGCAGCGGTCGCAGGAACAGTTTTGAGCGGGGCGTGGTTGGGAGGATTCGGAGGAGGAGAAGGGGAAGGGCCCTCAGGCCCAGCGGCCTTGAGAAACGCATCACTCCCGCAAGCGCGGACTGGGCTTGAAGCTCTCGTCTCAAGAAGGCGTCTGCTCGACCAGGTCGGCCGCGTCGTCTCCGCCTCCAGCGGCAGTCGCGGCACCGCAGTCCAGGGCCAGTTCGGCCCGAGCGAGTTGCGACATGACCAGGATCTGACCTGCATGGAACACTTCCAGTCCACGTAGTAGCCCTTGGACTTGCCCTTGTTCGAACCTTTGGTTTCGTCGTGCTTGCCGTCGCCCTTAGAGTGGCTGCCCTTCGAGGTGCCGCCCTTCACGCTACCCTTCGAGCCGCCCTTGGAGTATCGATCGGGGCAATCGCGCCAGACATGGCCAGGTCGCCCGCATACCAGACAACCTCTCGCATGCTTTCCTTGTCCGTCGCCACTCTTCCCGTTTTCCGACTTGCCACCAGCGTGGAATATTGTGTCTTCATTTGTTTCGGCCATTGTTTTCTTCGGATCCGCCAGTGTCCGTCGGGCCTCCATTGCCAAGGCTTCTGCTTTTGAGACCTGGCAGATGTGAGCTCTGGGCTTTCCTCCTTGCTTTCCTGCGAATAGTCGCCGTAGGTCGCCGATCCTTCGGGGGGGATATTGCCCAATGGCTTCTACTGCCTGCAAATTCTGTAGATCGGTTTGAAGGCGCACCACCATGCGCCTTGCCCGTCGCACTGCCAGTTCACGTGCCACTATTCGTCTTCGCCTCGGAGTGCCAGGACCCTTGCCTCAACCTCGTCATATTCATATATCGCGGAAGCACGGCCTGGGAATTCGTGTCGGGTTGGTGGTCGGTTCCCGTCTCGAAGATTTGGATCTTCCCATGTTGTTTTCAACTCGGCCACGGTCGCTTGGTAGCTGGTCTCATTATGAATGTTTGCCAACATCATCTGTCGTTTCCCCCCAGTGCAGGCGAGCATTGTGTAGCACTATGTATCGCTTTACAGTGTTCGCCCTTTTTTCTCCAGCTCCTTCTCGGATAGGCGCCGTCATCGTCTGTCTTCGCTTCCACGGCCATCTCTTTGCTGAGTGGTAGTTTCACAGTTTTGCGAAGCCTCCTATGTTCTCGGACTCTCCTGGGCGCCTGTTTCGTGTCACGAAACAGGCTGCCGCGCGGGGTCGCGCATTATCCGATGACTGCCAGCGGCGTTCGAACCACTGTGTCGTAGGCTCGTGTTTTCTGGTACGCGCCATCAGTTCCTGAAGTAGGGCACCAGTCTGTCCACTCTGGTCGTCGAATCGAAATCGGCAGGGTCCAGATCTTCGATCGCTTCTCTTGCCGCTCCAGAGGGCTCACCAGAGACGCGGCGCAGCTAGTTGCTTCTCGTCCGTCTCGGGGTGCCTTGGCGTAAGATTCGGAAGCCAGGGCATCTGCTCCTCATATTGGAATACCGTTCTGGGTCGTCGGGCATCTTGGGGCAGGTGTCATCTCTCTCCCGCCCGTGGGTCTCCACGTAGGCTCCGCTACCACGTCATTGAAGTAAGCGCAGTGGTTTTCCGACCGATGATGTTTATGTTTCTTCTCTCCAGCAATGTAGGTAGCGGCTATTCGTTGCCGCAGTCCGCGTCGGCTCCAGTTGCCGAAGCACATGTGAAATAACAGAAGTGTATGTTTGAAACGTGCCCCCCCTGGGGATATGAACCCCGGGTGCCGCGTCCTATGGATAATGGGAAGAACGAGTTGGAACACATGGAATAGAAATAAGATGAGTTGGTCTGTCTAGCAGACCTCGGGCAGGCCAAGGGATTGGTTGGTCATAGGGGAGGGGTCTAGGGTAGGCGTGGGGATGAACACTGAGGCGAGTCCTAGGGTAGGCCTGGTGGTCACGTTAGCCAGGTCGAGCGAGTGAGAGGGCTCCGTCTACTCCCACCTTCCCCTTTACACCAGGAGAATACATTATGGCACAACTTCAAAATTGGATTGGAAAGCGTTCTCAACTCGCAAATCGAAAGCAGTCGCGCGCGGTCCCGCTTCCGACAGATTGGCGACGAGAAAAATACGCGGGCCGCGCAGGGGCGGGAACCGAAACAAGTATGCGAAGGCGAAGCATGCGCCGCGCTGACACAGCATTGTCACGTTCACTCACACACTGCGCGGCGTTCTGGCAAGGTCGACATTTCGCCCGCTCTCGCGCGGCCCCGCTGCCGCTGTCTCTGCCATGCTATTCGGCGAACGGACGATGCGCCGCGCCCGAGCTGCAACGCCACTTCCGATCCAAATGCGCGCGGAATTTGGGAGAAGGCAACAAGTGGCCCATCCGCGAGCCCCCACGAAAAATGGCGAGCGGCAGGTATGAGTCGCGTCGAGGCGGGGACGCCACCTTCGGGCAGAATCAACGCGACGCCGAGACGAGGGCGACCTGTTCTTCCGCTCGCGCGCCGACGAAACGCGTGTGACACATGTGCGCCGCGCCCGAGCGGCAGCTCATCTGCCTAGGACAATGCGCGCGGCGCCAGGGCGGGATCGACAGCTTTCCCCTTTCGCGCGGGATGGGCGCCCCATTCTCGCCACGCCTTTTGCAACGTAGACATCAAGAACGTAGTCTTTGCTTTTCGACCACGTAGGATGGGACTGCCCGGATCTAGGGCCCATCGGCCGGTATCGGTGGAGACCTGGGGTACAGTCGAGATCGGTGCGATGGTCGACCCTGCTCAATCAAGGGTACCAGTGTGTCTTGTGTTTAGCGACTCATGCCTTCTACATTCCCATGGCAACGTGGCCTTCGGAAGGGTATTGTGCCCGCTCGCGTATCTTTTCCAATCCGGCTCGACTGCTTATAACCATACGGAATAAGGATAAAGCCGAGGGTGGGGACAGGGCAAGCGTAGGGGTAGGGCGTGGGCTAACTGGGACAGGCCAGGGGGTAACGCCCACTATCAATGCCCGAGCAACCTCACAAGCTCGAGCAACAATCCCACCTACCCACAACTTGCCGGCAACATTGAGTGGGCCGTGATTGCAGTGACCGGCGCAAGAACCCGATATCTTGAAGTGAGTTGCAGTGAGAGGCCGATATCTTGAAGTGGGCCGTGATTGCAGTGACCGGCGCAAGAGCTTGCCGTGAGTTGGCTCAAGAGCAGAACCCGATATCTTGAAGAAGAGTCGGTGAGCAGGGTTGGCAATGGACCGCATTGGCATGGAGGAGCTTGCCGATGAGTCGCGCTTGCTCGATCATGCTGGGTTGCACGCGCATGAGCCTCGGACACAGAAGTCACGGCGAACGCCGTTGGTCGTGAGTTCTCTTGTTCTTGGAGCCGTGTGCTTGGCAGCGATTCCCAAGTTCGCGCCCGGCAGCCCTTCAGTGTCTGACGCCTTGTTGAAGCACGCGTCTCGCTTGGATGAGGTCCTCTCCATTCCAGACGAGGAGAAATGCGATTTCTACATTTTCACGCACGTTCCGAACCCAAAGGATTTGGACAACTTCAATGAGTACCCGCTGGACGACTTGGTGACAGACTCTGAAGGAAAAGCGGGCATTTTGGTCATGTGGGTCATGCCAGCAAAGGAGTGGGGAATCATGCTGGAGTACGTCCACCAGATCACGACCACGAAGAACATGACAGCTCCATCAGAACTCGTTGATCTGAATGAGACCTGCCACGAGAAGATGATAAAGCACAAGTCCGACGGCTCTTTCCAGCGGGTCCGCATGTTGTCCCCGCTGGATTTCATCGAGCCACTATTGGCCATCCGCTATCGTCTCGGAACGACAAAGTTTCAGAAGTGGTTCGGGCACACAACGTACGATGCGCCCAAGCTTGTAGGATCGATCATGCGCATCCGAGCCCTGGGAAACACGATTCCTGTCTTCCGCTTCGACATCGACATCATCTGCAGCAGGGTCACCAAAGAGGACAACATGAAGTCGATCAAGCACGCCGTCTCCCAGGGGGTCGACGACTTCCTGGCAGCGCTGGCAGACATCCGCGTGAAAACCTTCGTGCTAAGCCAGCAGTACTACGGCGTGGAGTCGGCCAACACCAAGGACTTCAACGCGTGGAACGAGGCCTACTCCACGCGTTGCAACCCGGCTCTCCTCGCCACGCCGGCGCTCGTGAACGCGTCGCAGTGGAGCGAGCGCGACGGCAACGAGTGCTTCTGGGGCAGCTACACCCCCTCCCCGGAGGCGCTCCTAGAGGCGACGGACGAGCGGGTCATGCTCGCCTTCTACGGCCTGGAGCCGAAGGACGGCGAGGACTTCCTGCAGCCGGTGCTTCCGAGCAGCGACCCCGAGGCGGACATCTTGAAGTTGGGCAACACGTACATCGGCGCCAACCCGGCCACAGCGATCATCTCCGGCGCCGCCCTGAGCACCGGGCCGGGCACCACCCTCGACGTGCCGCCGTGGATCCACGCGGACCTGAACATCATGTGGATCGACGATCACATCCTCGACAAGAGCACGCAGGAGATCATGGGCACCAAGAAGTTCCCCCGCCCGGAGGGCGTTGGGACTGCCAAGGTGATCAAGGCCCGCGCGCAGCCGTCGAACCCTGCCAAGTTCACGCTCGAGATCTACATGCCCACCCTGCTGTATGGCATCCTCATGGATGTCTGGGTGAACAATCATACGGACGCTTACTTGCTGAAGTACCATCCGGAAGATCTGCCCAGTGACCTCGCCGACAAACTTGCCAGTCTGAAGCCCGACGATGGCATCGCGCAAGGCACGGCCACGCGGGCAATGCAGCAGGTCAGGCGCCAGGGCGTCATGATCCAGGGGCAGGAGTTGAAGGATTTCAAGGCAGACATGTGGAGCGACGCTCTCCAGCGCATCAGGGACACGTACTACCAGTGGGTGAACATGCCGGAGCCGGAGATCGGCGGAACAGCAACTCCCAGCTTCGCGGCGCTCTGGATCGCCGGACGTGTGTGCAAGCACCCTGGCTTGGAGAGGTATTGCGAGTGCCCCACGTGCTCCAAGCTCGGCCAAGGCATGATCTCGCCTGAGTGGGACAAGAAAGCCAGGAAGGCCGCGGAGGAGCAGAAGCTGGCGGACCTGCCGAAGCTCACGGAGGAGGACCTCTTGCCAGGCATGAAAGAGAAGGTGGAAGAGCTCATCCAGACGGTGGCCACGCAGCTCGAGTGGATCTTGACGTGGCCACACGTCATCCAGGCCGTCCGAGGGGAGGAGGCTGGCCATCTGGCTTCTGACCTCTTCTGGAACCCCAGCGAGCCGACCTACTCGCTCCCCCTCCCGCCCACCATCTGACGCTCTGAGCCGCGGGCGTCCAAGGGCATCTCCTGCAGAACGCTCGCGGGTCGCCCCGATCTGTCGCAAAGTGCGCACGCCTCGTGCCCTCGGTCCAGACCGCAGCAACGCTCGAATCGAATAATGCACGGGGAATGCACGTCCTAGCGATGGCAAGATCCTTGCCCCTCACCCTCGAGCACAGCCTCGGAGGGGCTGGGCAAGCACCTGCGAATCCTGCAGGGAGGCTGGTACACGTTGCTGGCACCAGCGCTTCACTCGTTCCAGCCCTCGCCAGCCTCATTCAGTCTTGTCCTGTCCTGGCGACCCCATTCTGGCCGTTTCGGGCTCGTCATTTCGGCCCTTGCCAGGTTTGTTCCAGCACCGGCCTTGTTTTCACTTCCACGGAGTTTCCAACTTCGTTTCTCCCAACGTCGGAGAATCTGCATTTCTCAGAGGCTCGGGCTCAGGCTCAGGCGGAAGAGGCGAGGAGCGGAGGGGCCCCTCCCTCCAGGGCGCCTCGCCGCCAGCCATACCCCTCTCTCATCTGCGCATCGCGGCCCCTATTGGCGGGCGCCCTCGCGATTGGAATGAAAAAAAAAATGCAGTGACCGGCGCATATTTGTCAGCTGCTCCCCAGACGCGCATTGCCGCGTGGATCTTTCTACCGCATAACACTGTCTCGGGTTGGTGGGTGATGATGTTGACGACGATGATGATGGTGATGATGTTCATGATGATCATGATGATGTTGGTGATGATGATGGTGATCAGGACGATGATGATGATGATGATGATTATTATTATGATGATGGTGATGATAGTAATGGTGATGATGGTGATGATGACGATGTTGATGATGGTGACGATGATGACGATAATGATGACGATAATGATGACGATGATGATGTTGTTTGTGCTTATTATATTGCTGTTGGTGATGATGCTGGTGATGGTAATGGTGATGGTAATGACTATGATGATGACGACGATGATGATGATATTGAATATGATGATGGTGTTGACTATAGTCAGGGTCCCGATGAACATGATGATGGTGATGAAGATGATGTTATTGGTGATGATGATGGTGAGAATAGGTGGCAAGACGCAAGAATACATGATTGCACTGACCAGCACAACCTGGTTTGCAAATCCCCAGAGGCGCAATGACGCTTGGACCCCTATCGCGATGCACATCTTTTGCGCAAAGAGCCGTTTGCACAATCCAGATCCACTGTTATGGTCGGGCCCCTTGCGGGTATCCCAGGCTGCAAGGAGAAGTGAAATGAAGGCAACGGCATTGTATTGCCTCGAACCAATCAAGGCGTGTGAGGCATCAAGAGGAGACGCGCAAACGGAAACCTCTCACTCCGATCACTTCTCGCATTATTGTCCACCTTCGGGTCCTGGGACCCTCTGGGGTCGAAACCTCTGGCTGCGATTGCTTCAAGGCTTTGTCATATCTCACGATTCTGGATCCCGGGAGAAGAAAAGGAGGAATGGATGTGTGAGGGTTTGCGGTGCCTTGTCGGGCATTCGCGGGAGCCCTCGTCGCCACGGCCAGCTTTAACCATTTGCAACGTCTGCCGACTGCCGCAACGGATGACGTTCGCGCATGGGGAATCTCATGCTAGCCGATTGCGGCACACAGCAAAAGTATGTCCCGGCACATCCGCCCAGCACCATTGGGCTGAACAGCTTCTCAGGCAAGATGAGTACACCCCAATCCCCACGGACAAAGACGGGGGTCATGGCCTGGCTCGCCGCGAACCGATGCGGCAGAGAAGCGGCGCGGACGAGCCTGCGGTGAACGAAGAGTTCCTCGGCTCCTCGGTCTCCTCCTCGGCTCCTCGGCTCCTCGGCTCCCTGCGCCGTCGCTTCTCGCAGCCCACCCTCTTCCCCGCGCCGCTCCAGCTCGGCGCCAGGACGCGGCGGCGCGGGCGCCGCACCCCGCCGCCGGCGGCGGCAGTGCCCTCTCGAAGCTTGGCGCGGCGCTGGGCTTCCTGAGATGAGCCGCGGGGGCGCGCAGGCCCGCTGCACACGGCTCTTGGCCAGCTGCCGCCCGTGCTCGGCCCCGCGGGGGAGGGCAGAGGGAAACGGCAGGAGGGGCGGCTGGCTCCGGGGGGAGGAGGCGGAGGGGGAGGGAGAGGAGGCGGAGCAGGAGGAGGAGGAGGAGGAGGAGGAGGAGGAGGAGGAGGAGGAGGAGGGAGGAGGGAGGAGGGAGGAGGGAGCCGCCCCCGACATCGGGGCCTGGGCCTCCCATCCCCGCCCCGGGGGCGTGCGGTGTCGCTGTCGGGGGCCCATCGCCGACCCGTCGGCGAGGTGTCGCCGGCTCCCGGTCGATGCCTCCCCCCTGGAGCCGTTCGCCCCCTTTGTTGCCCCCCCCTCAGAAGAGAGGGCTCAGGGGGGAAGGAAGGAGGGAGAGAAAGATTCGAAGAGAAGAAGAAAGATTCGAAGAAGGAAGGAGGAAGGAGGAAGAGAAAGATTCGAAGAAAAAGGAGGAAGGAGGGAGAGAAAAATTCGAAGAGAAAAAGACAAAAAGGAAGAAAAGGCATCAGGATCAGCAGTTGGAGATCTGCGCGGATTTCTCGGATCGGCGCTGGGGCACCCGCTCAGCGCCAATCCAAGGAATTCGCGTGGCCGAGCAACAGTTTCTGCTAATGCCGATGAGTGTTTATTCAAGCGGCTTACGTCATTCCGCCGAGCACCAGAAGGAGTCAGAGCTTGCGACGATCGTGGAAGTTATCTAGTGGCCTTCGGCCCAGCCCGTAACTGCGCGTGGGCGGTGGGTCGGGAGCTTCTCGGATGAATATAGGGGTTTCTTGGGATGCCTCTCAGGGGCCTCTCGGAGGGCTCTTGGGTGCAGTGGGGAGAGATTTGAGGCCTCTTGGGGGCGCCTTGGAAGTCTCTTGGGGCGCCTCGGGGGCCTCGGGGGGGCTCTTGGGGCCATCTTGGAGGAAAAGGCTCGAAATATCAGTTCGTATTCCCCCTCTTGGGGTCCTCTTGGCTTTTGGGCCGTGTTGGGGGCCCCTGGGGCCGTCTCAAGGCCCTCTGGGGCCATCTTGAGGCCTTCCTGGAGGCCTCATCGGACGTCTTACGACGATCTTGGGGGTCTGTTGGGCAGTCTTAGAAGCTGTCAAGACGAGCAGGCGAGTGTGCTAAAGATGCATGCGCTCCTAAGGGAATGGGACAATGTGTGCCTCTTGGCCTGTGGGGCCGTCTGGAGGCAATCCTGGGCGTCTTCGAGCGATCTTTCGGCGACCCGTAGCCCTCTTGGACCGTCCGGGGACCTTTTGGGGCCCTGTTGGCCCGTTTTGGAGCCCCTCTGAGGCTCCAAAGGGCGCGGCTGCCACTTTTGCTCCCCGCCCACACACACCCCTCCAAACCGGCCGGACTGGGCTCCCGGGGGAGGGGTTTGGGGAGGGGGAAGCATCTCGCACGCCGTGGCCCCAAGGGGTCGGCGGATTGCATGAAAATGAAATCGCGGTCTAAGAGGGGGGTCCGAGGGGCCTCGGAGGAGCCTTCTGTGAGCTTCTTTGGTAAAAACCATGAGAGTTCATCAAATTCGGAACCCCCTTCTGTGAAAAGTCTGGGGGGGTCTCAAACGCAGCCGAAATCCTATTGCTTGATTTCGTTGACGTTTCAATTGAATGGTTCGAATCATTTTTTATCGTTATCCTGGTGTCTCTTCTGAAATTTCAATGTACGATGTGGTCAAGCACGAAGGTAGCATGTGAACATTCCAGTTGATTGGCGAATGGCTTGGAATGTATGTATACACATATATACACTAATAATAATAATAAAAATAATACGAATACGAATAATAATGATAATAATAATGATAATAATAATAGTAATAATAGTAATAATGACCATAAATGTGCACACGTATGTGTAGGAGTACAGAATGCAGCAATCGAAAAGCATCGGATGTCAGACGCGACGCGAGCATTCTAAACTCAATGCTGAAGGGGGCGCACGCAGATATCGGATGCGCGCAACCTACGCACAGTGAGAAGGAGGATAAAAAGCAAGGGGTCGGGTGCCAGACGACATGCGAGATCCTAGCTGTTCCCTATCTTTTCGTGTCCTTCGTCCGTCTATCCCTCCGCTACCAACGGTTCCCAGGCCGAAGGCACGGCCCCGCAGAAGCAATGGCAACACCTACAGAAAGAGTTCCCGGAGACCGTGGGGCGATAACACCTCCCGAACAATGAGATTGCAACGAGGTCGATTTAGAGATGTAGTTTGAAAGCCGTGCCGACTTCACGAAAATGTCCAACAATGCATGTTTGTGCAATCGCCGCGTATGCCACCACCCCGAAGCAATCCCAGTGCAACACAGGCAACGGGAGAACTCTGAAAGCAGTGCAAGACTGTTCAAATTTTTGTCAGAGTCTTCAACCATTCGAATCTTCAAATCGTCAAATCTTCCACGAATCAGAGCATGATTTGTTCTAGTCGTCATATGCTCTGTGCTTGCATCCAGAATGTTTCAATATCATGTACCCACATTCGTTTGCCACACTTGAGCATTCATCACTCAGTCACTATATGTGTTCATGTTTTCAGTTTACGTGTTGATCAGCATGTAATGAATAAACTCCAATGTCGCACTCTCTCGTGCCAGCGTTCTGCGTTGCAAAGGAAAATGACATGCGTGTAACAGTTTGGAATTGAGTCGCTCCCTCATAACTTGTATTACTTGTCCGTGGTCCTGCTGGTTGAACTTGACCATATGGACTTTGAAAGTAGCAAATGGTCACAGAAGGTTTGTTGTAACATCTTGGTTCATTCAAGTCGTGTGATGAGTTGCATAGCGATTAAGGCGGATCCCGCAGGAAATAGGCGCGAATATCTGAATGGCCATATGACAGAAAGTAATAATACAATAATAATAATAATGTCTATATTATGTGCTAAAGAACAACAAATATATTTAGAAATAAACACCGAAACAACAAAACAACAACAACAAAAAGCTGTTAAACTTGATATGGCACGTGCCCTCCAGCATCGAAGTTGTGCATTGTCGCCAAGTGGCAAGCTTGTTGGTATCACGTTGGGTAGAGCGGGCACACAAAGATACAAAAGAGGTATTTCGGGTATTCACACATTGTCAGTGAGAAAAACGGTGGTAGTTTGAAGCGGCCACACAACCATAGTCAAAGCGAAACCGTTTTGATCTGAAGTGTCACCATGGAGGATGATAAATACATCAGAGGGGAAGCGCATGATACGGAGGGGGGGAGGGGTAGGAGAAGAGAGAACATTCGAGAGGTATGGAGACGAAAAAGGAAACAACAAAAACTACAATTCTGATGAATGGCATTCAGCAACACGGGAACCATCACAGAGCTTAACCAAAAATTGATAGAAAACGCAAAGATATCCAGACGAAACAACAACAACAGACAAACAACCAAACAAACAAACAAGCACAACAACAAGAATATCAACAGACCAACAGAAAAATGGCAACCTCTGAGATCAGTGGCAATACGGTAGCAATCAATGTGCGGCCTGCCATGCGCACAATAATGTTAGGCCGTTCAGCCGAGGCAATCAGGCATTATGCACATGTATATCTTAACTATACAACAAACGCTGCTGGTTGTCAAAGTGTGTTGCCGCGAAAGCAACTGACACTAGCGCGCGGTGCGTATCTTCAACGATGGATTTGTTTCAGATCAGTCATCCACGTGCGCAGTGTTACCCTGAGCCACAAGTCGTTACACGCGTATGCAAAGTTGTTCAATATAGCCAAAGATGTCTTTCCAGGGGGGTAGATATTCTTCTTGGATGATCGCCAGCGGGCACTCGGCTTCTTTACCGGAAGCCATGAAACAAGAGGGCGCCAGGCAGCGTTTGAGTTGCAACCAGAAAAATTCAACCGTTGCTTTCATACACATGATCTTGGCGCCAGAAATTGCACGGAAGGTTGCCAGATGGTTCAGGTGTTATTTATCCGGCAAATTAAAGCTTTCACTTCAAGTTCATGAAATATTGACATCAGATTCGCTTGTTACGTGACTATTGATGAAAATTGGCACAACAGGTTATATGTGTGAAAATAACGCAGAAACGTTTCAAAAAAAGTCGAAGGCTCAGATCAACGCACAGTGTGCTGTGGATCTGGATTGCACACGGAATGGACATATACGTTCCAAACAGTGTGTTATGCGATTGGGTTGGGAGAAATAGAAGCGATGTGCGAATACGTAAGACTCAGGTGTTTGGCCTTGCACGGAAGGTCCAGGAAGAGTTGCCGCATGTAGGCCCAGTTGAATACGAAGTGGGGTATTGCGAGGTGTTTTTTTGTTTGGATGTCCGTTGCACCCGAATAAACAAAGGCACGCTGGTTGACAAAGACACAGAAAATACATCAATCGAATCACGCAACAAATTAGCGCAGCTTACGCCAGGGCACATTCTGTTACGGGAAAACCTTTGCGCTTCATTTCGGACCCAAGACAGCAACATGACAGCACACGTCGGCACATGTAGAAAACAGGTTCATTGCACGCCGTTCTTATAGTGGACGTGTGTGTGTGTGTTGTGCAATGCCAATTCACTGTTATTTGCATAGCTGATGTGGCGCACGCTGGCATCATGCACATTTGACAACTACCACAACAACAGCAGCCATGCAGTACAACGTTGTTGTATACCCAGTCGTGGTGGTGGGGGCAAGCAGTATAATTCACAACTGTATTGTGCGTGGTGTACACAGATCATGCTATGTACACGCAGCGTGGTGCACGTAGGGGTTGGCGTGCACGCGGGGACCATTACGCAAGCCGTGTACTACAACCTCTGATGTGTAATTTGGTGATTGGTGGTTGGTCGACGGGAGTCACGCAACAGATGAAGATCAGTACCGACCTGCTGCTCATAAGTATGAATTGCATGGTCTGTGCTTCAAAGAGTCACAGCATGACATTGTGTGTGTGACGTATGGTGCCAGAAATGTGGTACACATTGTGTACTGCATACCATACCACGCATGCGACGTGGCGCGACGAACATCAAGATCGCCTTTTAAAGACAGGTAGGCCCCCATGACGGGACCATACCAATAATGCACGCGCACACCATTCAGGGATTATCGCAACGACATGGGAGTCGGAAAGAGACGGAATTGGGACGGGGGAGAGTAGGGGAAGGGGGCCAAAAGCGCGGGGAAGGACTTGGAGTGGAAACCGTACGGGGCGAGGAGAGGATGTTGAGCCGAGAAGGGGAAAATACAGGCGGAAAACATTGGAACAGCGGAGAACACCCAGAAGAGAGGATGGTGGAAAGGCGGCGGTATGCATTAGTTTGTTTTGCTTTTCTGCCCCCTCCGGTTTCTTAACATCAGATTCGCAGGTGCCATATGTGTTGTGTAGATCTTCCTGAGCCAGTTGTTGGTCCTCATGTGATGCACCCATGATTGTTGGCGCAAGTCGATTTGATACGTGTTGTTTGTCAGGATATCATGCAGTGGGCATGACTATATTATTCTCTCGTGTTCATATTACCAGGCTCGTTAGTTTGTTTTCCTCCATCTACAGCAGGTATGTTGTCCGAAATGTGCGTCCGCTTTTCTGTTGCTGGCAACAGGCCATGCTCGCATGGTATGCGCGGCTGTCAGTCTTCAGTGATGCACGTACACGAAATTACAATGAGTACTCCCCCGCTGTAGCTGTTCAAAGATTCAACTTCGAACGTTTGTCGCACCATTCCTTTACTTACGGCCAGGTCCTTCGGCTTAGCGTGTCGCAGCGCTGGTCCTGGCCCACCACGCATCGGCGCGAAACGCTAATCAGGCCAGGGTCCCCAAGCGTCAACGTCCCGACATCTCTCGACCCTCCGGCGAAGCGGAGCGACACGCCATCCGCTCGCAGGACATAACGTGTCGTTGGGGCCACCGTGGCGATACGCTGAGGAAAAGTTCTTGACCGTATCCCCTTCTCTCCAATCCAGCGACGGTGTGCGCTCACACAAACGCGTTGGGCTTGGAGGCCCAACAAGCAGAGCAAGCGATCGCTTTAGGCGTGCATGTTTTTGGCCTCTTGTATTTCGGTCGCCAATTAGTAGCAATTCGCACACCATGGGTTGGTATGCTGGTGACAGCATAGTGCACGTTGAGGTTCTCGATCTCTTCCCGATCCTATCGAAGATAATGATCTGTATTGATGCCCTGCTCTTGACGTAGACCTCTTCACATGGGAACCCCCACCCTTGGCAACGTGCATCGAATTCAAGAAAGCCGAGTGCATGTTTCTTCTGCTGAGCGCCTGCAGCGAAGAAGTTCGGCGACGTAGAAAGAGGTCGTAACTCTGTCACCACGATGCTTTGGTGTCCCCTTCCTTCCTGAATCCTTCCAGCGGTCAGGCACATTCGCTCACCACAAGTTGCTGCATCACTTTACCAGTACACCCCCATGCCGGGAGCAGAACCAGGCGTTCTCATATCCCATCAGTTCGAACGAGGTGTTGTCCACAGTTCGACTCGACGGATTGGCACGGACGCGTGCTGCCCTGCACGATTGCGAGGATGTTCCGCAGCGGGCGGTCCTCGTGGCAGCTCAGTCGACCCACGCGGGGGTCGACTGAGCCGATCGCCCTGTGCCGCTGGCTACCCCTGGACGGAGCAACTTCGGGCCCCGAGGCCGCGGCCTCGTGGGGGCACCTCGGGGGCCTGGGAGCCGTCTTGGAGCCCCTTTAGGGGGCCATCCCCGAGCCTCGGGTCGTGCCGGGGGCCGTTCTCGGACCCCGTCGGACAATCTTCGGCGACCCTGGGGAGGGACTGGGAGGTCCTGCAGCCGCAGGGGGGCAGGGCAACCTCGGGCGGTCAGACGAGTGAGGCACCCTACCCGCGTTGGCCTCTCTTGGCGCCAGCAAATTCCAAAATCCTTCAAAAACCTAAGGAAAATCAATGATTTGGCCTCCCCAGAACGAGAGAGAAGGCAGGAGACGTGAAGCGCGGAGGAGCGCTCTGACAGCGCCTTCGCCTTCGCACGGGGCCTCTACAGGAGCGACACGCGCACTCCAGCACGCCCGTGAAGCGCTTGCTCAGCGAGTAAAGCTTACTCCGAAAAGGTCCCTGTGGGCTACCAGGCAGGGCTGCTCACGAGCCGATTCGACCTCCAATCCGATCCGGCGCGAACCGAGGCCCTCTCTGGGCTGCCAGGGCTGAGCGCCATCAGCGATCCCAGATGCTCCGATGCCGATCCGATTCCGCGACGGTCGAGGCGCGGTCCGATCCGTTGCTGGTCCGATCCGATCTCGCGATTCGGTGCAGCTCGGACCTGCCAGGGCTTCGGGGCAGAATGCCCCAGACAGCAGCTCCTTGCGAGCTGAGGGGGTTTTCCCCCCCCGTTCGGGGCGGTAACAGGCCAAGGGGGAGCAGCAGTCCTGGCAGGGTGTGTGCAAAAATTGCCTGCTGGCGACAGTACGGAACGCTTGGTTTAGCAGCGTCAACCGAGGAGGATGAGGAGGAGGAGGAGGAACAGGAGGAGGAGGAGGAGGGAAAAGAGAAGGATAAGGAGGAGGAGGAGAATAAAGAGGAGAAGAAGAAGGAAGATGGTGAGAAAGAGGAGAATGAGAAGGAGGAGGGCGAAGCAGGCACTGGTTCGCAGTCTGCCAAAGGGCAGTCTGGTTCGAGTTGGATACGGGACAGATTTCCCATTCCGTCAAAGTTGAATAGCGACGCTTATCAAGTTCCACCACGTACGTTGTAGATTCGTCATCATACATTCCATTAATCATGGTTCGATCCCGCCATTTGTTGTTCGTGCGAAAATCATGTATGGATTGGATAGCTGTTGGCACCCATATACGTAAAGCTCCAAATATTGAACGATCCTAACACATCCGAAGTAACCTCATGGTAAGGTGTATAGCTTTTCCGTTCAGCGTATTTCAAATCGCGTTGGCCGTAATTGCTTGTGTTCGGTCGTTCAGTGAACACATGCAGATCATAGTAGCAGAGCGTCGCAAAGCCAAGGAATACTTGATGCGACGGTAAAACCAGAAGCAGAGATGCCGACTCGTATTGTTGGTTTGCCCTCGGGGGCTAGGACGAGTGCTCTGCGCAGTCGGCGCTCGATGCTTCGGCCAGGGATGGTTCTTCCCGCTTCGGCTCCACTTGCTTCCAGGCTGCAAAGAGTCCCGAGTGCCAGCCGTGTGTTCTCCCACCCACCAGACGCAAAAGCAAGAAGTGCGTGGCCCTTGGGGTCCCGACTCTTCCGAGTCACAGCCAGTCCCGTCGTTGCCGCACGCAGCGTCGCAACAATTCGATTGTGTTTGGAGGTCTTCGGCGTGCCCGGGCAGTGGTCATTCGGGGGGCCTCTTGGAGTCTTCGTGCTGGCCTCTAACGGTGAAGGGGCTACGCTGTCAACATTCATGTGTAGGGGCCGTGCTTGGCCCATCAGGCCAGGCGAGCGTTGCTGGCGAAGGCGACTGTTTCGGCGCCAGTGTGGAGCCTGCAACGTCTCGAGCCCCTGGCACGCAGTTGGGTGGACAAGTGGATGCGCCAGTGGAATCCGTCGGAGCTGGAGGACAAGCCTTGGTTCGCGAGGGCGGAAGTCATGCATTGGTTGCAGAAAGTGGCGAGCAATACCAACAATTCGTTTCTCACCAGAGTTCCAAGTAGTTTCACGTATTGTTCCAGTTCGAGCTTTACGTGAAGGGTTTTTTCAAGCATAACGCTTGGGTTACGTGGTATGCGGTAACATCCCGCCTCTGAATCTGAATACTAAACGTTGGCTTAGCGTGTCGCCCCGCTGGTTCTGGCCCACCACGCTTCGGCGCGACGCGCTATCCGCGTCCCAATTCCCAAGCGACAACGTCCCGATCCTTGGCAAGCCTGTGGAGTGGAGCGACACGCTATCCGCTTGCAGGGCACAGCGTGTCGCCGGGGCCGCCGCCACGACACGCTGAGAAAAAGTTTCTGGTCGTAAGGGCGTCTTGGAAGCCTCGTGCGGGCCTACTAAAGTGTTGTGAAACTTCTCGGGGGCCTCTCGAGGGACTCCGGGGAGGAGGAGGAGGAGGAGGAGGAGGGGGAGGAGGAGGAGGAGAAAGAGGAAGAGGAAGAGGAAGAGGAAGAGAAGGAGGAGGAGGAGGAGGAGGAGGAGCAGAAGCAGGGAAAGGAGGATGAGGACGAGGAAGAGCAGAAGGAGAAGGATATCGAGGAGGAGGAGGAGGAGGAGGACGACGACGACGACGACGAGGGCGAGAAGGAGGAGACCGACGAGGAGCAGGAAGACGAGGCCTTCTTGGAGGGGTCGCTTCCCGCGGCTCGCCCCTGGCGTGTTTTCGGGACCTCCTCGTGGGACCGTCTTGGGGGCCTCTCCCATGCCGCCCTGGGGCAATCCTGCGAACCTCTGGGGCCGTCTTGGACGCTTTTACCAGGTGCAACGACAGGGGGGGATAGGCATGGGCGGGATGCATCGACATCCAATCGCCCATGGATCGCCGATAGGAATCTGATAGCTTCGCCCCGGCCAGGAAAGTGTGGACTTACTCTCAAGGACCTATCACCGATCTGTCTGCGATGTATCGCTGATTCCAGGTCGATGCTTTCCCCTCAGTGCCAGTCCCCGCCGATCGCTGCCCCACATTTTACGTTAGACCGAAAAGTTTGGAATGCGAAATTATACAGCAAGGGTACGGTTCTCAGTCATTTTGGCGTCGTGGGCCGGTCGCATGGGCTCCCAAGACAGCCCAACAGATTTCTGGAGGTTGGAAAGAAGCGTGGCATAAAGGGGTGTGGTGTCAATGCTGAAAAAAAGAGCGATGTTACTTACAATAATCGAAGTGCGTTGCATCCCGATTTCAACAGCGGTGGCCTTGCGCCAACCGCCTCAAACAACACCACATTTCCTCCCGCACGAGTCCCTGGGACCATATTGCGGTTCCTTGGAAGGTTGGGCCGTACAGAGCGTATCGAGAACCCCAGAAAGGTCCATGCGGAAAATTCCGAGAGCGCCAAGAGGCTCCTAGAGATTTCTTGAGTTCGGGGGAGCCCAGCACTTAAAGAGTGTTTACGTGGAGCGATTCAAAAGGATTGGAGGGCACTCCATTCAGTGCCTCGCGGCGCGGTGGCGGTAATCAAGACATCCGTCGTCAGCCCTGGCTGGCCTGTAGCCGAGTTGATCCTGGCCTTGTCCTGGGTCGCCGCGCTGGCTCTGCGACTGGGGAGCGCATGGAGGCAGAGGAAATCGCTGTGGGCTGCTGCTTGTTCCCAGAACGTTGCAAGTCTAAACTAGCCACCCACACGGCCGCTCGCCCAAGGGCTGTTGCTCCGCGTGCTCAGGGGGGCGAGCGCCGGCCGCCAGCTCGTGCTTCTCTGGCCCCGTTGCGTCGCAAGCGTCGCAAATGCTTCAGCTCCCCCTTGGTTGCCGCCAAGCACTCTGGGGCATCGCGTGCACCGTGTGTCGACCGGTGCCAAGCGGTGCGCGATCTAACGGCCAACGCAGGGGAGTTTCCTTACGATCCCAGGGCAACGGTGGCCCAACTTGCCTAATAGGCTGCAGCGGCTGTTCTGCACGGGCTTTTCAGTCACATCCGCGTCATTACAACGGACAGTTGCGCTTGTGATGCCCACGCGTCGTGATCTTCACACCACGTGATCTGATTTGCCTTGTATCTGGCCCAGAGATACCGATAAATGCTTGCAATGCGTATTTATGTGCTATGTGTTCCGTGGCCAAGGAAGACAGTATAGGCAGTAATGTTGTAAGGAAGTGTTGCAAAAGAAGGGGCCACGCTCACTTCGCAAAGAAGTAGCAGCTTCGACGTATGCCCCATGAGTGTGAGTATACATGTATGCCCGTGTTCTGGAGTTCCAAACATCGGTCCCCGTGGCGCGTCCCAGTTCCAATCATGTGGACAAGATTTGGCCATGTCGTCTGGGCATACTGATGCCGTATTCCCATTGATTGTCAGTTTTCCAGTGCACACACGCACACACAAACGGCACATCTTTCGAGACGGGAAGATAACTTACTCCAGCCACAATGAGGCTCTTGTAGCCCAACCCGCCAGTGGAGTAGCGACAAGGACACGATCCTGGTGAGCACCCGCCCCCCCACATACAATTCCTTTGTTGTCCTCCTTCCTTCGGGAGGCGGGAGCTGAGGAAGCAGCCGCCCGCAGGCCGTAAGTGAATGATCATCCAACGCGTTGCGCGCGGGCCGATCGTTGCACGAAGCGGGCGGACGGGGGATCGGCAATCGAGTGTTCTTCGGCACGCCCGGCGCCCTGCCACGCAACGGCGGAAGCCCGCGCCGCGATGCAGCAGATGTTGTCTGGGGTTGTCCGACCGTGCGACGCGCCGCGCCCGAAGCGGCACCCTGCAAGCGAACGGCAGGCACTCGGAACCGCTGGGCGAAGTCCGTCCGTGCGACACGCCGTGCCCGATTGTCGAATAGCAGGCACCCCGACATCGCGGGGGCGTGACGCCCCCAGCCTTCAGTTGGCAGCACACTTGGTGCCATGAAACATGGGCAGGGCCGCCTGCGTAACGCTGCCAGCGTGATGGGTATGGGCAGAGCCAATGTGTAACGCGAACCTACCCGCACGCACATGCGCATGTCAGCAACAATGCCGAGGACCGTGCGATACACGCATGACTTAGCTCAAGTCCCCAGGGCACCGAGCATCGGCATACCGAAACCGCGAACGATCCAAAAAACGTCGACTTCCATTTAATACTGCCAATGTCGTGCAGTACATCAGTCGTCGTGTTGATGCATCTGCAGGGTCACAAACGACAGACCAGTCGCTTAGATTGTCCATTAACTCTGTTATTTTCGATAGTCGCCTCCAGATCTTTGTTGACAGAGCGTGCAGGGCGATGGATAATGGCCCTGGCATTAATTCTTATCCCTGACCGTACCTGGACAATAAGGTCGAAGCTTGCGGCGCAAGATTTTCCCCCCGACCCCCAAAATTAAGATAGAGAGTGTGGCAATGGAGGGAGCTTCGGTGGAAAGATATAGTTGAACCCCAGAACCATCACCTATGCGAACATCAGCACTGATTTCGGGGGCAGGAGTGGGTGATCAATATCCCCCTCAAGGGTGTGAGGATTCGAATATGCTGTCCATGTAATGCATCACCCCAGCGCCGTCCCATACGACGTCCGCCATCCCATTTTCATCATACCAACGGGATTCAGAGTGCATGCCATACCATTGGCGGAGCCAGGGCGCCAACCCTTGTGAGTTCTAACATTCTGTCTCTCCGCTAACGCAGCCGCAAGGGCCAACCCTATGAATATTTAGAGTCGGTGGGTTAGGCTGCGCATCGGTGAGGTCCCAGGACACACACATGAATGGCAGCATTGTTTCTGCTACGGTATGCGGGCCCACGTTAGCAGGGTTCCGCCGCGCGTTGCCAAGCTGTCTGAAACGGACGGTATACGGCAGTGCCAACACATAGTCGCAAGTCGTGTGTTGATTCGACTCCCTCATTGCCGTCAAAGAAGAAATTCGCATAGCACTAACGATATCCAGTGGGACAGGGTCGCAGATCAGTGCTTCCAACATGTCGCACAACACCTCCAGCGTTGCATTGCGATATAAATAGACTGTGTGGTACCCGTACAGATGTGCCCCACAAACTAGCCCAGGGTCACTTGCTAAATATCCGAATAATTCGGGTGAGTATTGCCAGATCAGTTCTTATCGGATTTAGTTTGCCAGCCGTATGCCTTTCATCCGGAACACGATCGACAGGATGTTCTGCCCGAAATATTGGGTCTCGTAGTTGTCTAAATATTGCACGAGTGTTGGCCGCCGAAAGGTTTTGCGGTATTGGCACCCGAGATGCATGATTGAGTTCGCGGATTTCGAATTGCCGATGTCGTTTTGGTGATGGATTCATCGGTTTGGACATCTGTTTTGTTGACGTCGTCGGTTCTGGTGCCATTGGCTGTCGCATCGGCATCGCCTTACAGCTATTGACTCATCCCAGTCCCAGCGTTCTCAGGTGGCGATGCTGGTTCTGAGTTCTCGCACTCCCGCAGCGCCCCGGTGGCTCGTTAGGTGCACGAGCATCCTTGGCAAAGGAAACAAGAGCGTGCAAGCTGCAATACAGTCAGATGTTTGCCCATGACCGCACTTCCAATTGGTGATGGTCCCGTGCATGGTTGCCAGACACTGGGTAAGAAGTCGGAGTTAGCCCTCCCAGATACTGCGTGGCAGAGTTTCGAGGGTGCGCATCAGGATGTCGATACCCCGAAGGGTTTGGACAGCCAAGACATGTCCCTCGCCATCCGGGAGTCTCGCCGGGCCCAGGGGGAGTCGGAGGGTTCCGACGCGGGTTCGGCAATTGGGGCTCGACGAGAGTCGGAAAAGGCAGAACACGTCCACCACCTGGAGAAGACCTCGATGGAGACATGCCCACAATCCGAGCGCGCACGGGCAAGTGTCGCACCCTCCCGCGGCTCCCTTGGCGTGCCCACTTGCCACGCTTGCTTCATCGCAGAGACGAGGTGGCCCTGAAAAGAGGCACGTCTACCTCCCAAAGCAAACGCATCTACAATCTGAGCGCGAATGGGCAGGTGGCACATCCCCTGGCGGCTCCCCCTGCGGGAGCCCAA